GCGAAAATATTCCGTGTAAGTACACTTTTTTCTAAGTTATAAATGCATATATTTACCGGTGTTATCTACAGTTAACTACAGTAATTTGCAATAATTTCCTGTGTAAATACTCAAAAATAATATAAATTTCACTTCCTTTAAGTCAACCTTCGTCTTAAACTTTTGAATTTAAAGCATTAAAGAATTTATAAGACTGCCACTGATTGTTCGAGAAGTTAAATTAGATTAGAAGAAGAAGTAAAAAAAAAAAAAAACAAGGTTCAGCTATAGAAAAAAGAATAATAACTTATCTAAAATTAAGAATTAATTAAAGATATTTTAATGAAATAACTAAGAATAATAGAAGAGTTTGATTTTATTCGTCGGTTATAATGCAGGATGACAATAAAGATGTCTACATGCTCCATTAAACGGTCACATGCTACGAATGAAGAAGCCAAGATTAGAAGAGTTGCTGTTTCAATTAAAGACCAAGTGGGGAAAGGTGGATTGGGTAATGGCGCACGACAATCACTGTAGCTCGGTTATTAACACGCTTCTTTGAGCAGAGAGGGGGTGGGGTCAAGTTGTTGCAGGGGAGAAGGGGCAGACACAGATCACCCTTAGGACCATCAATATCATCAAGTAAAGACCGAAGGCTATTCTCATAATCTAATCCGGTTTCTTCATAACTCAACCTTATTTAAATTCACTTAACTTAGTTATCACTAGATTTAACACCACATTTTTAAGTTATCATCTTTTTTTTTTAAAGATTCTTTTCGTGACGTTTCGAATTATATTATTAAATAGGGTGGAAGCTATTGAGATCTATTCAAAGAGTGAGTACGAGTTCTAAGCATATAATATATATATATAAGTTACATATAAATTTAATTTTAACAGCCTATAATTTGTGTGTAATATTTTATTAAAATTAAGGTTAATAGTTTGTTTAAGATAAGTTATAACGGGGTTTTTCTTGAAAAAATACCCGAAGCTATACGATGTACTCATAATACAACTCGTAGATCTTAAGAAATTATTCCATTTTCTAAATTATGAAGTCCTGTCAAAAAAAAAGAGTTGTTTTTGATGATCTTAGTGTAAAACATGTTCAATTCGACCGTTTTAATGGCATTAGCAAAGAGAAAACGTAAGCGATGTGATATTCCTTTTTCCGAGTAAATTCTAATACCATAGGGATGAAGTCGGTTTAATCAAGGCGCACGTTCTCTGTTGAAATGAATTGTTAACCGTACATTTTATAGATGTAAGCTGCACCGTTGTCACGTGATCGTCGACCGTGAAAAACTACCAGAGTACCGATAGCGGAGTCTGATGGAACGAAGAGTCCGGCTGACTGGTGTCTACTCCGATACCAGCTTCAAACTGCACCCATGGGATGAATCCATTGGCAGGCAGTGGGAGGAGATGCCCGATGGGACAGTGGTGAGAAATTATAGCCGTAATTCATAAATCCCCAACTCTTACCCTCCTCCCCCTACGAGACTATAAGAGAAGCGAGCTACTTGTTCTTATATAAAAATATGTCGCCAATTTGTGAGGTCTACCTGCTTATATTCCTCTTCTACTGTACATCGCTCTTCTTCGATTTCTATTTGGGGATTTTTTAAATTGTAACAAATGTTCTAAAGTTGGTTATATCAATTTACAACAATTTCCTCGTTGAAAAAACACGAAAGAAAATTTATTGTCCAACTCCCTGTCACTTTCAACCAACGAATGGAGTCAATGTTTATAACAATATTTCTGATCTTTCTAGCCTATTATATTATTAAATAATTTATTTTAAAATGTTAATTTTGCCAAAAATTTTATTATCTTTATTGAATTGATCACTTCATTTGTTTAATTTTGTTATTAATTTTTCAATAACTAATCAGCAAAATATATTTATTTAAATATATTTTAAGTAGACTTAAGATTTAATAGGATACGAGAGAATCTTTTATTTAAGATTTGATAAAAATATGCTTATAACTAAATCAAAATAAGGCTGAGTTTATAAATAGCTGGGCCTACGTAAGAGTTCTTTAATAGATAAAACATAGAATAATAGTAATGTGTCCAGCTATTATCTGACTCCAAATATATCCAGAAACATCAATTTATTATATATATAAAGCTATCTGTAATATCTGTCGTCTATCCATTCGGTTTGATCGTTACTAGCAATATTGCACCTGTGTCCATCGACAGGTGATAGGGGGATTCCTCTTGATCTGGTTGACGAATGACGATGTTACGATCGCAGTGAAACAATGACAGAAGTGTCATTTCTGTCACAGTGTAGAAACAAGAAGGAAAGACATATCGTCTAGAGTGGTCAGGATCCTCTTCTCTAATACGATATGACATTGCATTAAAAACTAGGGATTTAAAAGACTACTCCATTTAGGTAGGGAGGTGTTCGTTTATCACTTCTAATCGTAGTTCGGTGACAGGGGGCGAGAAGAGGCAGTCACGTCACCCATACACACACAACACACACACTACCGAACGAAAATGATCGACGAAGTATTGGAGCTTTCAACTGCTGAAATTCGTGCAGGATCATCGTCCATTAATAACATTCTGCTCTAGTCGGAAATTAGTGCTCGACCACTCGTCTCCATGAAACTTGTTCAAACTCTGATTACGTATTTCAATGATTATTGCTGACATTTAAACTAATGCTGGGCGATGTACAAACCCAGAAAGAGCTGTAAATCCATTCAAATATGGTTATTGAATGCTTCCATAACAGAGAGAGGAAAGAGAGAATTATAATTCATAGAAATTAGAAAAAGCTTTATTAATAAACGGAAACGTTAAAATGTATGTATTCAATTTTAGAAAGTTGAGAAGAAAATCAATATAATACTTTATTAATTAACATATAAACTTGATACAAATTCAAGAAAAGACTAGCCTAACATTATTACTGTTGCTCATCGTAGCTAAGTAGTTAAGTTACCATTAGTTTTAATGAATTATGATCATATAAAATTGTTAAATACTATTCTCAATAACGTTTTAAAGTATAAATTGAGTAAAAATTATAATAGTATACAGTTAATTTGGTTTGAGTTTTTCGACCTTCTCTCCGTTTGGCCTACTCTGCACGGTTAAAATCACAAGCAATTGAAAAATTTTTGCTCATCAAGCGTGAAAACTTGACAAATTTTAGCAGAAATTTGTTTATGTTTTAAAATACTTTATTGATCTAGTGGCATTTTATTTTTTAAATATATAAAATCACAATATAGTTGTGACTCTATATATTGAACTTTATGCGATTAGAAGTCTTAATTTTTATTTCTATTTTAAAATAAATTCGTTAATTATATCGGATACATAAACAAAATATATGGATCCTTATTTTTACATAATAAATATGTGAATCACTTACAATATAAATGGTTAAAATTACATTTAGTTACTCATCAGCTAGAGTATTAAAAGTCATTTTTTACCATTAACTTTCATATATTTTTATTCTTCTGATATTAGTTTCACTAAACTTTTTATAAGGCCTATTTTTTTTCTTCTTACAACTTAAAAAATCTTATTAATTGTCTCATGTCTTACACTGTTATTACTTGGGACCAACATAGCTGTTATTTTTCTAATCAGTAGACCATTGTTTCTGTTGGAGGACAAATAGAAAAAATTCTGTGCCTCAACATAAAAGAAGTATCAGAAATTTATAAAATTTTCGAGTTTTCAACTTGGAATAAGATGAATAATATAAGAAAGACAAAAATTATCATCAGATTTGAGCATTTTATTGGTGAAATAACCATCACACAACCAGACTAGACAGCTGCATCCGAGCTCACTAACCACCTGAAGTTAGGGGACTCTCGAAAATATAATTTTTCTAAGAGGCAGTTCACTTTTTTGCCTCGGGGTTTGTCAGCCTTAGTTCCGTCGTTAGTTTTTTTTTTTTCTATGGAAGCAATAGATGAGAACAACGATCTAAACAATAAACCGAATCCCATAGAGAAGTGGGGATGAGGGTAAGCTATTTTTACTATCTTAACGAGATCTTTTAAAGGTGTCTATTAGTTTCTTTTCTAATATTAATAGATTCGAGAAGTCTCTCTTAGTTTAAGTCTACAAATCACATTGGCTCAAAGGAAAAAATCTAAGAAAATCTGAAATGAAAGATGTGTTTAATCCAGATGGGGACCGAACCCGCATTTAAAACATGGACTATAGACTTACAGGCTTATATTTGGGGGAATTCTTTTGTTTCATGCATCTTAAAGACCTTTTATTCATAAGATCTGCTTAAGTGCTTCAATTACAAGATGTAATTTATAATAAAATCAGTATTCCTTCGTGAATATACACTTATCTACGTTAACAATAGGCCTATATTAAATCTGTAAAGAAATTAAATTTTAGAAAAATGTAATATGAATTACGTTATAGATTATCTTAATAATAATTAATTTTTGTTATTAAAATAATGGTGAATGAATTATATTTTTATATCATTAACCTATTTTACTTAAGATCATTTACATTTTAAATTTGAAAGGAAAGTTTTAAATTGGCTTTAAAAGTCAACTTTTCTTATATTTTGACATTTATTGCTATGAATTTTGTCATTTATTTTTCCTGCGAATAGCACTGTTTAAGAAATGACCTACTGTGAGTGATTTGAGAGGCCAGACATTCCCCGACAGCATAGGTAAACACATCATCTCCCCCCTACTAATGGACTTATTTTCAATGCGACAAAATGCTAGCATTGTCCCTGTACAAAAAGTCAGTACAAGGGTCTAGTTAGATCGTGGTGTCTCCTTATTGACTCTTGTCTACCTCAGGAATGACATCTGAAAAGCCGAGCTGAGTGCACCGGCCACTTGACTCTCCCTCCTTAAACTTGTCAACCTCAGGTGGAGCGTGGTGACGTCACATCGCCACGAGCGCCAACTAGCGAGAGGTTGGAAAGGCGGAGATGTAACTACCCCGTTGGACTGCGACTGGTTACCTGCACACAGGTGGTGCAGGTGTCGCTCCGCCTCCGCTCGGCATACGAAACGACAGTTGGGTGAAATCGTGGCAAAGTTGCAGAGATTTGCACCCTCTGGGCTTCGGATATGGATTACTTTCGCGTCGATATGACTTTTCGAAATGCGTTTCGTCAAAGAAATATCGTAGATGAGTCGATATGATTTTTCGTAAAGAAGTCCCGATATCTGCCGACCGAGGGCGGTAGTGTAGCATACGTTTAATCGACCCTCAGTCGAGAGGAAGTGGGCAGCTACGTTATCGACGCCAAACCATGTAGACGCACAGTGTTTGGCCTCCGTCCTTTCGGCCACGTGTTCTTGCACGAGGTCTTCTCGTTTGAACTCTGACCTCACCGAGTGTAGTCGATGGACCCACCCCGGTAACTTAAAGGAACCAGCCTCGTGTTGGTCGAACGTGTCGCGAGGTGTCCAGGTGGGAGGGGCCACTGTGATAGACAGGTGTAGCCTTCCATGTCCCGAGCCAGCATGCGTGGCGTCGTGCCCCTTCCCTATCCCCCACCTCCTCCCGGTTTAGCCCGGGGGGTGACAAACGCCACTAGTGTCTCACGTCCCATTCTGTGTACCTTGCTAGGAGATGGAGGCGACGCAACCACCAGCACCAGTGCACCGCCAGCGACCAGCACGGACCCAGGACCAGGGTGTGGGGTATGTGCACGTGCGGTCACCAGCGTCTCAGCTGACGGCCGCCTCATGAACTCGGGAGACCAATCAGACATCAGGTTGGGACAGCGTGGAACCCAGACCACGACGTTTCTCATGGATGTGGTGAGTTCTTTCCTTTTCTTCTCTATCAGGCTCGGCATTTATATTATATTTTTACATTTTACTATATTATTACGTATCTAACGACACTACTAAACGTTCGCCACCCACGACGTATCAACGCATCACCTCTTAACTTTACCTACCTACGACAGTTAAGAATATTTTTAAAAAGCACAGTTAAGTATCCTCCCTCCACCCTTGATTTAATTTCAATCTGGTTTGACAAAAAATTCTAAAATCTTTATTATTCCTCCAACAATTTCATTGTAAATAATCCAGATATCATTTTCTAATTATTCAAATTTCATAGGTGAATATCAATATCACTTTACATACATAAAATTTGACATTTGTGACATTTTGATGAGATGAAAGTGATAAATAATTATGTTGTTAATGATCTCTTGCTCAACTCACCTTTTCATGCGACAGCTGTAGGCCTATATGTAAATTAACTAGGCCATATTCAGTTCACTTCTAAACGTTTAGAAAATTCAAAGAAGATTTCAATCCTATTCCTTCGATTGCCTGTTCTACAACCGATTAGGGATTGTTTCCATCGATAAACACACAGATAAAGAAACATATGGTGGATTATCGAAGTAAAAAAACTACTAAAGTATAGATATTTTGCGTTTTTCTACTTAATTACACTTGAATAATTGCATTTGTTACGCCTACAGAGTTAACAATAAGATTCATTTACAGGTAAAGAATCTAAAAATAAAGTTCAGAAAGGGGTTTTTTCTTTGTTTCTTACAAAAGAAAAGACCCCATACATTATATTTATTTACCATTTTGGGTTATTTTAACTGATTAGTGCCCATTGTGATAATTAAATGAAGCGTACATTTTAAACGGGGGATATACTCGAAGATGATCTTATCGCTGCGCTGATAGTCTACTTACTGTAGAATTGTTACTATCATTTGTATGAAAACTTAAACCGTGCAAAGTAAAATTTGTGAAAAATTGATTAAGAAAAAACAAAATTATGAAAGAAAAATTCGATTATATAGATTGTCATCATCGTCAATGCTTTATCACTTAAGCTTCCAACCCCCAATAGAATCACTGCATAGTGAAACAGGAGAGAAAAATCCTACTAATCGATAAAATACTAATCGTTGATTCTAGGTGTGGTTCCAACATAAGATTTGCATAACCTAAATAACTGATCCTCTATTCAAAATCAACAACTTTTTCCTCTTTTTTCTATAATTAAACTAGTGTTTTATTTGAGGAATTTCTTCATTGTTTACATCGGAATTTTTCGGATATTTTTAATTAAAGTTGAATTTCGTTTGCAAATTTCACCTTATTACATACTTCTTTTACAGTAATTTACAAAAAAAAAACAGTTATAGAATTAAAATTAAACATTTTTCTTTTTATAGTTAAGTAATTTTAGATGTAACTGGAGTAGTTAACAGATATGAAAACCTTTAAACCTCGGGGTATATAAAGATAAATTAATATTTTTAAAGAAAGTAAAAATAGTCATCTTAAACATTGCTAATGTTTAAGATCGCTACTTTCAAATAATCTCTTGGGACAAATATTCTGCAAGGGCAGGAGGGTGTACAATAATGGGTTTACAGAGCAAGCCTATTATGAATCCAATCGGATTGTGATTAAGCGGGCGTTTACATACAACAGTTTAAATAAGTTTTTTTTTTTTACGTATAAATACTTAAGAAATTTTTTGGAAAATTTTTTGGATGAAACAAAANTAAATTCATTCCTTCTTTATCTTAAACAGAGTAATTCTTCATAGAATTATTCCTAATTCATCTTACAAGTTAGATAAAAACATTCTCCTTAATTTATCCTACATATAATTAATTTCTAGCATATTTTAAATACATTTTATCCATATTTTAATTTGATATTTAGTAATTAATTTGATTAAAATTAATGTAAATTTTCTTATCAGAATAGATTTTTATCAAAGAACATCTCATCTACGATCTGTCGCATTTGTTGCTGTTCATTGTAATTTCCTATCTGGTCCGACAAAAAGTCTAGTTACATGTTTATATCAATGAGAATTGAACTAAGTGGAAAATAATTCATCGAGACAAATACAGGATTACAGAGTCCCAGATATTTACTCCTATAGGAGATACCTTTTTCTTTTTCTTTTTTTTTTTTTTTCTTGGCGAATTTAACATGCACCGTATATAAACACAGGATTAGTAAGATTACTCTTGCCATTAAAACAAGATTACAGCTTCACCCTTTTGTACAAGAAAGTAATCAGTTGTACGACACTTCATTTGCATATAAGGAAGGAACAATGACAAATGGAAGTTTAAAAAATGACACGCGGAGGTGAATAGTTCACTACTTTTTAGGGATTATACGAAAACAAAGATTTCTTAAAGGATTTCTACACTTTTGACTTTCTAGATCATACGATTCCCCCTAACACATTGTAATCTTGTCATACCTATCAGTTTAATAACCCTTTCACTATGCAAATTGAGTTGTCACGTAATCGACCTTACAGACGAATTGACTGATGACAAAATGGATTGATCACAGAAAATGATCAAATATTTTATTTTTAAATTTTATATACATAAGTATAGATATATTTTCTATAAGTTCCTATATTTTAACACTATAATGTCTTTCTTTTTTTTTGTGTACTTAAGCTTATTTCTGTACTGTACATAAAACAGGATGATGTAGAAGTATACTTTCTGTATATAAACTTAACATTCGTCTATAAACATGCATAACATTCTCGGTTAATGTATTCACTTTCCACTTTATAGCTTAAATTGTTTCATATTCAGTACCTTAAAGCCCATTTGTCAAATATTCTAACCCATTTAACAGGCAACCAACAAAATTTTCTCGAAATAAGTCAAAGTCGTTGCGACATCCATAAGAACTGACGTGTCTTTTCTATATGGAAGTAAAAACAACAAAAACAAAAATTTTCTAATGGAAAATCGCCAAGTGGACCCATCTGTTTTTAATATTGGCTTAAGAATCTAATATTGAGCATTACCATGGCAATTCAAAAAGTAAGGTTTCGGATAAACATTTGCTGTTAAGAGTTGCAGTCGTGTAACAGATGTGCAATTGTAATTCTATATGCTGCATCTCATACGAAATATATATATATATATTTTTTTTTTTTTAAATGTTGAANTGAGAAAGGAATTAGTGGTTGCTGGAAATTACCACGGCTAATGACTTGGTCTCTAGGTAATTGGGTCGCACTGTCTTTCTCTCTTTTTGGTCAAAGAATTGCCTAGATCTGTTTTGGACAACTTAGTGACAGTTTGAAGTCACTTGTATTCCCTTAGTAACTCTTACAACTCCCATTCCGATCCGATCCTTTGTTTTCGTTATCGATTTGGAGCTAGAAAGTTTATAATTAAATTTAAATACTTTGAGATAATTATAGTAATTTATAATGTTTATATTAAAATATATTCTTATAATTTCATTTGCGTTGAAAATTATATTCATTTTACTTAAACATTTTTGCAATAGATCATAACTAGAGATTACCAAGATGTGAGATATTTAGATGCTGATATAATTATAAATTTGTAAGTATAGATATAAACTTTTATGATATTTTCAATGACATAAATTTAGATATGGATTTAAAATATCTGTCAAAATATTTAAATCACAGATTAAATTTTAATTCGTCTACTTACCAGACTATTTTAAGTATAGAAAATTATAATAGATTGCATATAATTCGTTTATAATTTAACCAAGGCCTATCATTATATATAGGCCTGGGGTATAATTTCTAAATTTTTATTCATTCCTATCATGAGTTTTGCATATTATATTAATTACAAAATTTTCTTTGTTATATTATCTTCAATTTTCTTGAATGTTTCCAAGTAATTTTTTAAAAATTCTCTTCCACTTTCTAAGCATGTATAAGACTTTGTTTAGAATATTTTTTTTTCAAATTGTACGTTGTAAATATATAATAAAAATTCTAGATTTTAATCGTTGCAAAGAAGAAAAATTATTACTTTATCGCATTGAAAAATAGAAATTACTTTACCGAAACTTTAGGTAGTTGCATATGTCTATCTTATGGAAACTTAGTTCTATTGTTTGAAGACGGGAGACTAATAGTTTGAATGATTAAAACTGATATTTTTATTATATGTTTTCTAGTTTTTAATGTTATACAGAATTACTTTGAGATCAGATTACTGAGCAAAGTTCATCTCAGGAATCCAGATCTTTTTTCTTAACTGCCATCGGGTCAATGTGGAGAGTGAGAACGTGACATTTCTCTTCTATGTGGAAGACATGACGTCAGAGCTGTCCTATCTACTAAAGTACGAGTATGAAGCAATTTTATACGTTATTGCTAGGTCGGACATCATAAGTAATAAAAAAAAACTGTACAAATTTATATCAGAACTTTCGATCAAATCCAATCAAAACATTGATGATTGATAAACATAAATATGAAGTTTGTAATGAATAAGCTTTTTTAAATGACAAATAAATCTACCTTGATTAAATATTAGTATTTATCAACGTTTTTTAAATGTTTAGAAATAAAATTATAAGTCTTTCATATATATATATAAGCCTATATTCTTCCATAAGTTATTGTTTTATTTAATAGGAGATAGAGTTAAGTTCATTTCGAATGATGAATATTTGCTGTTTTATAGATAAAAATGTTTTTAAATCCTTAAATATTATCTTTGGATGATAATTGATATTAAAATATATATATATTATAATTATCTTTTAACCAAAATTTTAAATTAAATTTACATGTTTTCTCTACAACAAAATTAATTATTTCGGTTAATAGTTATAGCGCTGTAAGCTAAGAAAATTGCATATATTATTACTATTTTAGTTCTTTTAAACTAGTTATTATATAAATTTGAATTTACCATAGTTTATTAGAGTAATCAGTGTTTCTTCTTTGTAACTAATCACAACCAAGACTTGAAAATCCAGTCAACTAGAATCGAACTGACCTT